TCCTCCTCCTCCTCCTCCTCCTCCTCCTCCTCCTCCTCCTCCTCCTCCTCCTCCTCCTCTTGTTCCCGATCCCCCCCAAAAGCGTTCAAAACATCCCAAAGCCGTGAGTTGGCAGCGCGCGCGGGCGGCGAGGCGTTTTCCACGGCGGCTCAGCTTCGCGAAGGTTCGCTTGGGCGGGTGCGCCGGGCGAGCTAAGCTCGCCCGTGTGCCGCGCGGGTCTAGGCCGCCTTGGAAGACGCCCCATTTGCCTTCGAAATTCGCCCATCCCGGATAGGAGGCGCCGCCCAAGCGCAGCCCAGGAGGAGGAACAGGAAAACGACGAGAAGGGAGGGGGGAAGGACGAAGATTGTCGGTTTCTGGAACCCTGGGGGGCAGCAGTCGGCCCCTGGAGGCCTCGGAGGCAGCGCGGGGTTGCCCCAAGGGGCCGTCAGCGCCGCCACTGCTGCGAGGATGTCCCAGGCAAAACCGCAGAGCAGAGAAACATCGATGCCGCGTTCCAGAGGCGTGGAGAACAGCAATGGGGCCATGGGTGCCTGGGGGGCAGCGAAAAAGAATTGGTCGGGCCTCGAAAAATTGTTGTTCGGTTTCTCGTTGCCTGGGAGGCATCGGTGAACCCTGGAGGCCTGGGGGGCGGCAGGGCAGCAGCCCCAGCGGCGGTGCCGGGCAGGTGCTGGGGAGGGGGTTGCCCTCAAAAGAGCTGGGTGCTCCCCATGGCTCACGAAGGCTCTGACCCGTTTCACTTCAAGACATCCTCCTGGCCCAGGGCTACTATGAGATGCCTTGACTTGAGGTGCTCTTGCCCGTGCCGCTTGAGATACCTAAGAACTCTGGGTTCCAAGAATTGGCCCGTGAGGTGCTCAGGCCCGCGTCCCCTGATACATCCTCAGATGCGTACCCGGGCTCCGATATGCGCTGACCTGAGGCACTTTGGCGAGTTCGCTGCTCGGGGCGTCTTGAGGCCATCTCAAGTAACTGCTGTCTCGGGGCGTCCTGGGGCGATTTCTACTCGCGGCTGTCTCGGGTGGGATCTAGGGCCCGCGAACGCGCGCACGTGCGCGCAGACGCACGCACGCACGCGCATATGTGAACACATTTGTTACATATTACACACAGATATACAAAGTGTTTGCTTGGGATGGTTTCCCGCTGCTTGAGGTTGTTTTATTTTGTTGTTCAGTGTTTCCCGCCATTGTGATCTTTCATTGTAAGACTTCGGCCTTGAAGCCGCCAGATTCCTAAAACAGCCCTGCAGCCTGGCCCCCAGCCGAGCCCTGCAGCTAAGCTCCCCAGAATTCCCCAACGCTGGGCTCCCGAAACAAACCCGAAGCCTCTCCCCTAGAACATCCTTGAAGCATGGCCCCCGAACAGTTGTAAAGCTCGGCCCCTTAGTTGTCCGGTGCTGTATGGAAGTTCTCTGGGCGTCCTTCGCCATTTCTTCGCAGCGCGTTGGCTCGTGTTCGAGTTTCTTCGGGCAACTCGGCTATCAGCTTGCAGTTTTATTCCAGCGCCCCATGGATCTCCATGCTTCCGCTGGTGCTCATGTCCATGGCTCGGCTTTGCCAGAGGGAGATGTAGGAACGTCAGGTCCAGTGATGTCCGTGGCTGCGCCCGATTCAGAACAGCCACAGCCAGCGGGCGCGCATGGAAACCGAGCGCCCACAACGCCTCCGCAGTCAGGACATGCGAAGAAGAGCTTCGAGAAGTCAGAGTGGGGCGCGGAGTGGAAGGACTGGGTTGAGCGAGAGAGCGCCGAGGAGGGTGCGTTCGACGACGTTGCGTGCTGCTACGACGCCAAGTGGAGCTGGGGCGGGACGAGCAAGGCGGACGATTGGAGCTTCTCTGGGTGGGGTTCGCGTCCGAGTACCACGAAAGAGGCACGCGGCGGCAACGAGGCTAGCAACGAGACCGACTGGAGCGAGGCGCAGCAGTGGGCAGCACAGACGTGAGATGACGGGGCGGCATGGTCGGGGGCGGGCATCGGCAGCGGTTGGAGCGATTGTTCCCATTCCGAGTGGACCAGGTGGTCGAGAGATGGTAATGCGGACGAGGGTGACGCCGTCGACGCGTCGCCCGCGAGTTGGGAGGGTGACGCTCGGCATCGGAACTATTGGGAAGAGCGTGTCCCTTCGGAAGGGGCGCGAAGAATGGTCGAGCTCTGCTTCCAGGGGCGCGGCGCCGTGGTCGTTAGCACCAAACCGCGCTGGGGCTGGCATGACGACGAATGGGGCGATGGGCAAAGACAGCAGAGCGGTTGGCGAGACACGTGCGGCGGCATGGACAACGTTTTCCCGAGTGGTGCTGGTGTATTGGCACTGATTGATGAGCTTGCCGTGGACACCATTCTGAACGGTGTGCTCGTGGGGAAGTCGATCGCCGTGGGGGCTGTGCCCACCTAAAGCAAGCAGACTACGCCCCTGTACAAGGCCTGGGTGTTCGACGGCGAGACATTGGGCGAACTTGTCGCTTGGGGTGCGCATGCTGTGGAGATGGAGCAGGCTCTTTCGCGCATTCCCAGCGGCAGCGTTGTCGCTATCAGCCCCGTGACGGCATCAGGCAATGGCTACGCCTTTGAGCTCCGCAGCCGCCCTCGCATCCGGGCGGAGGGCAAGTCGTCGATGGCCGTGCCAGTGAAAACGCTTGAAGTGGCCAGCCAGCAAGCCAACAAATCAAGGGTCGAACTGGGCGGAAGGGCACATCGTTGCGATGCATCCACGGGCACTTGCGTCAAGGCCCGGCGCAACATGCACCTCGTCAGCAGCGACGGCCAGGTGGTTGTTGTAACGATGTGGGGCAAGGCAGCCGCGTTCCACCTGGATGACGCGGCTTACGTCCGCATCATGGGGGCCAGTGTTGACCGTGGGAACAGCAAATTCAGTCTCCACGACGATGGCGCTGTCAGCGTTGGCCATGATATGCCAGAGTCACCCCCGAGGAAGCGTCGGAAGCTTTTTTGGGGGGAGTGATGGCGTGGACTCTTCCGCAGCAACATTCAGTGGGGCCGTGCCAGGTGCGAGGTGGTCATCGCCGTCCGCGAGACGTTCTTCAACATGTGAAACTGTTCGGAGCGGCGCCGCCGATGAGAGCAGAGAGGATGGCAGCAGCGGGGTGGACGTAAGGTCTGGGTGGAAGGGGGGGGGGGGGGCGCGAGGAGGAGACAAGGGAAAGCAGCAGAAGGGAGGAAGGGGGTGATGAGGAGGTCCATGTGGACGGATGCAGTCGAGCATGCTCTTTGCGACCTGCAGCGCCCGCGAGCCCGAGTTTTTTTGGCGAGCGGTTCGGGGCCATCTCGTGCGGGGCCAAGGGTGCTCCCGGGGTGGCCTGTTCATGTTTTCGCTATGCTCTGCGTGCACCTGCGTATTGCTCGGAGTTCCTCGCGCGGCTTGCGCTGCATGCGCATGTTGCAGAAGGCCGCCGCGTTTAGAATTTCCCCACGTGGCGCGACGCGCTAGGGCGGAGCATGACCCAGGGGCGCGCGGGGAGGGGGGGGGGGCGGAGGGGCATATAGCGGAGGTGGTGGAGGGCGCAAATGGATGGGCAGGAAACCGACGCAAACGTCTGTCGCATCACATCTGCGCAGTGCCACCGAGAGCGAAAGTACAGGAGAACTTCTACTCACGCGGGCCCCAGGATCCATGACGATTGCTTCAATTCTTTCGGGCGAGCGGGGGCGGGATAGGGAGGGGGGCGATTTGGCGAGGAGGGGGAAAATATTGGCAGAGGAGCGCGGCGATCTTCCCGAACTCTGTCGCGCCTGTCCACTGAGGCACGTTGTTTTTTTTTTCCCAGGGTTGTGCGAGCGGCTGGAAGGACCTCGTGCGGGGCTAACAGAGCTCCCGAGGTAACCGGCCATGGCCTCATACGTGTGACGGTAGTCATGCCTCTTCCTCCCCCTCCCCCACCCATCCCTCTTCTCTCGGCCCTTCCCGCGCCGCCCTCTGCTGTCGGCCCTCTCCGTGCCACTCCTCCTCCTCCTCCCCCGCCCATCCCTCTTCTCTTGGCCCTCCCCGTGCCACTCTCTTCTCTCGGCCCTCCCTGTGCTCTCCCTCCTCCCCCTCCTCCTCCTCCCTCACCCATGCCTCTTCTCTCGGCTATCACCGTGCCATTCCCCCTCCCCCCCCCCGCCCATCCTTCTTCTCTCGGCCCTCCCCGTGCTACCCTCTTCTCTCGGCCCTCCCCGTGCCACTCCTCCCCCTCCCCCGCCCATCCCTTTTCTCTCGGCCCTTTCCGTGCCGCTCTCTTCTCTCGGTCCTCCCCGTGCCACTCCCCTTCCTCCTCCCCCGCCCATCCCTCTTCTCTCGGCTCTCTCCGTGCCACTCCTCCTCTTGGCCCGGAAAACATCCTTGAAACATATGTCAAGGCCTGGCTCCAATGCACCCGCAGAGCCTGGTGCCCAAAACATCCGCGAAGCACTGCCTGTAAAGCACGTTCAAACCCCGGCCGTGAAAACGCCCCGAAAACCCGGGCTCTGGACGCAACTTTGAGGTGCCGTTTGGTTCTGGACCGTTGGAATTGTGTGTGCTAGCTTTTCCATTCTGGGCCCTTGCAGGGCTCGTCTGGATATGTTCTTCGTTTATCGTCAGCATGTTATGGGTTGTCTGTTTTTCTGGGGGCTGCCCAGGTGGTCGTCCAGGCTCGCAAGAGGAGGCGTAGAGGGTGCGTATAGAAGTTCCAAATGGGCACGTGGGACTGCACCCTCAGGAACCGCGCGCAGCCCCTCGGGGCACCAGGCTGGCGGGGGGTTAGGGCGGGGCGAGCTGGCGATGATCAATCACCCATTTTGAAGAAACCCGCATCCTCTCCAACATGCAAGGGCCGCGCAAGTTCGACGGGGGATCATGTAAGACATGCCGCGCGTCATACCGCAAAGTCGTGCAGCGAGAGTGGGCTCAAGGGTTCCACCTTACCATCGATTCATACAATCGGAGGTACTTTTCGCTACCGTCGACTTATTCAGAGGGACGGGCATGAACGGCTTTGCGCACGGGCTGTGCTCCGCGCGCATGCCGCAGAGTGCCCTGGCGGAGTTGAAATCCACAATTCCCCAGCTCTGCGCCCCGGGAAAGGGTTTCCTTGCTGGCGACGTCGCCGCAGAGCCTGATGTTCTTGATAAACGCGTTGCGTACTTGGCATTGTGCTTCGGTGCACCGGATTTGAGCGAGTACGTCAGCGGAGTGATCTTGGACTGGGAGATGCTCTTCCGAAATGACGCAACCGGGAAGCCGATAGTCAGCGTCATTACTGGGAATGGCATGGTTCCAGGTACCAAGGTGGACAAGGGCTACAACAAGAAGGGCATGTGGAACACTAGCGTCGGGCCATTGGGCCAGCCCGAAGTGCGCGCCGTTGGGCTCAATGACCTTCAGGAGAGATGCGCTGAAGCGTATGCGAAGGGAGCTCGTTTCGCCAAGTGGCGCAACGTCCTCCAACTCCACTTCGAGGAGGGGTTGCCAAGTGGCGTTGCCATTGCAGACACGGTACGCACCCTGGCGCGCTACGTTTCCATTTGCCAGAGTGAGAAATTGGTGCCTATCGTTGCAATTGAGGTTTTGCCCGAAGGAGAACACGACATTTCTTATTGCTCGGAAGTGACCGAGAAAGTGTTGGCAGCCCAGTTCAAGGCTTTCGCAGATCACCACGTTTACCTGGAAGGCTGCCTCCTGAAGATGAACGCGGTGAAAAAACGGTGTTGCGGGCACAACGGCTGGCGCTGAAACAATCGCAACGCTCACAGTGCGGGCGCTGCGTCGCACAGTGCCTCCAGCGTTACCGGGCATTTTCTTTGGGTCACGCGAGACTGGCCTGGAGCAGGACAACGAGGAAGTAGCTACCATGTACCTGAGCACGATGAACAAGCTGTTCAAGGACAAGTTGCCCTGGCTCCTCTCCTTTTCGTATGGCGAGTCTTTGCAGAAAACACACTTCGAGACCTGGCCTCGCCAGGAGAAGATCAAGGATGATGCTCGGATGGCGCTAATAGCGAGGGCCAACGCAACCTTCGATGCAGTCATGGGCAAGTACACAGTGGAGCGGGGTTCAGACGAGGCGGCCGCCAAGCGGCGCAAAATCAACGCGTCCTCGTGGCAGTCGGGCACGTACGGGCGCGAGCTGCTGCAGGGAGAGGCCGCTTGCATCGCCGCAGTCAGGGCGTCAGAACTCTCAGCAGAGCCCGCCCCGAGCACGCCCGACATGGTTTTTGATGCTATTGCCTGCGGCGTCCCGTCGTAAGTTGCGATGCCCTTCCATGGGTCCTTTCTGGTTTCCTGGGCGTGCTCAGGGGTCCAGAGCGGCCGAAGAGCACACAGAGAATGGCGTAGGGGGCCCCCAAGGCCGCCCTCCACTCCCGGACAGAACTCCAGGGCTTGCGCATGCAATTAGATTCCGGTGGGATTCACTTGCGAGGTTTTTCTCAAGACACCTCTGGCGCTTTCATGCGTCGGAAGACACTGCCGAGCAGAATGCTGTGCTAAGGCGCATCTTGAAGGAGATGTTGGGCCCCGACGTTGCGTTGCAATGACACCGAGCGTTATCATTGGGGAGTGACCCGTGTCAGTAGAAGTTTTTGAAAGGGGAGGATGTTCTCGGCTTGGAGGTTGATGCGACCTTGGCTCGAGAGTCTGATTCCGGCTCGGGGGCATGTTGGGGGGGGGGGGAATGGGGGGTGGGGGAGGGGCGCCGAGCCAGCCTTTACGGATGTTTCAGAGCAAGAGCAAGTTTTAAGGATATTTCAGAGCCCGAGCGGTCTAGTGGACCTCGTGTGGGGCCAACAGTGCTCCCGGGGTGATCGAATAGGGCTCTCTACTTGTCGTCGGTCGTTATGTTGTTTGTAGACCGCTCCTGGCACACTCAGTGCGACCGCTGCGGTAGCTCCTCGTGCGGAGCAACCATGCTCCCGAGGTAACATAGCGTTGTCGGCTGGACCGGGGGGGGGGGGGACGGAAAAATGCGTCAGTCGCAGGCGGGCGCCGAAAGTTGGCGCTCCGGATTGTGAAGGGGTCGTTCGGGCCCACGGTCGTTCCCCCATCTGCGAAGCTACACAACAAAAAAGCTGTTGTTCGCCAGCGCAGCTATACAGAAAAGGTTGTTCCTCTATCAGCGAAGCTATACAGAAAAGATCAATGCAATGTATAGTCGTAGACGTGAATACCCCAACAGGCCCCTCCTCGCCCGTGCTTGTAAATGCTGACCCCCCGCAACTGCGGTGGCTCAAAGTCTGAGAGGCCCCCAGCCGCGGCGGCCCCTGCATGGACGGAGGGGCGCCTCCGCTGTGGGCGACACTGCTCACGGCCTGGGGGGCGACCTGGAGCGCCTGCTGGAGTTGGGGCTGGGGCGGAGTCACCACCCAGGCGGCTCACGCGGCGCCGTTCGCGACCTCCGGCCACTGCCAGGAGGACTCTGAGCGCTGCTCCTGCGACTGGGAGCTGCGCAAGATCATCGACCTCCAGCAGGAGGTCGGCCTCCTCCAGTCGGAGGTGTGGGCGCTGCGGTGCCTGCTGCTGGCCGGGCTCCTGCTGCTCGGCGCTGTGGCCTCTGGTGCTGGCACGCTGGGCTTCCTGGTGGGGGCCTGCCGGCGCTGTCGCTGCGGCGGGCGCGAGCGCGCGCCGGGCCGGGCGGCCGAGCCCGGCGCCCAACCGGCCGCGGCCTCGAGGGCGGCGGCGGTAGAGGGGCTGGCGTGCCCTCAGCCGGGCCGAGGGCCCTCGACGCCGAGCCGCCGGCAGCTGTAGCCCGATGGCAGACGTGCTGACGCTGGACATCGGCGACCCGCAGATCCTGGTCCACTACCCGGATGACGAGAACGGCTTCCTCTGGCACCACAGAGTGTTGCTCTTCAGGGTGTCGGACGACATCTGGATCAGCTTGACCCCTGATCTCGCCCTGGTGCGCTTGAAGCTGCTGGACATCCGGCACGAGGTGCTGGAGAGGCGAGCCCCGTTCCCTGCCCACCTGGGCAACCAGGTCTATGCCCACGACCCCATCGCCGCCGCCGCCCTGGCGGGCTTCCGTCGCCGTGCGAAGATCCAGGGGCAGCTGCTGGGCGTGGGCCAGGTGGACGTGGTCGAGAGGATGATCTGGGTGGTGGCCGAGCCCCGGTCGGCGAAGTTCGGCGAGGTGGTCGACTCGGCCATCATGGACGACGACGCCCGCGGCACGGGCTTCGACACGAAGGGGGTGGCGGTCGTGGACGGAGAGGAGATCTTCGTGCAGAAGATCGCGGCCAGCAAGCTCGACGACTTCAAGAAGGAGACCAAGGCGGACCTCGGAGACGTGCGTACGCTCGGGGACCACCTCGACGATGCTGGGCAGCGCTGTCTGAGGCTCTCGGAGGCGGTCGCGCTGATGAGAGACACGGATCAGCCGAACTTCCCACTCGCCGGCGTGAGGAGCGTGAAGGGGTTCCTCGAGTCGGTGGTCTCCGGGCCTGGCAACATGACGTCGTACCAGGCGGAGTGGGAGCGGCTCAGCGGAGTCGGTGAGGGTTCGGCAGTCAACCATGTGCACCGCAACTTGTGCGAGGTGATTCGGCTCATGCACTCCTGGGACCAGGTCGACGCCTCCATGTTGGCCTCTGCGGAGCTGATCGTGCGCTGGCTGGTTCAAACGGAGATAGCGGTAGAGCGCAACCCGCGCCACCCTGACTACAGCGGGCTGGACATAGTGATCTCGGCCCCGGTGAATGCAGCGGGCCGCGCGACGACGAACAAGTTCAACTCCTGGGTCACTGACAAGCTCAAGGAGAGGGCGCAGATCTGGAAGCAGGAGCGCCTGTACCGCGAGGAGCAGAAGACGAACCTGAAGGAGGGCAAGGGCGGCGACGGCTACGACCCGTCCAAGAAGAAGCTGAAGAAGAGAGGGGGCAAGGCCGGCGCCGAGGGCGCCGGCGAGGGAGGATGACGCCTCTCGGGGCTGTGGGGGAGCCGGCGCTGGCAGCCCGGGCGCCGAGAGAGCCCCCCCACAGCCGACACAGACGTGGGCTAGCCCCCTCTATTCCTGGAGGGATCCGGTCACGAGATCGACGGCATGGAGACCCCTTCCTCTGCCCTGCGATCCGAGTGGCCTCGGCTCTGCATGCAGCACTGCGCGGCAACGGCAAGTTTTTGACACGGTTCGGGCCCTGAACCAGCTTGCCGCCGCCAACGTGAATTCACGTCGCGCCCAGGGGCACGACCGCGCACCAGAAGGGCACCTCCGGCCGACCGCCGTGCAGCAGTGGATGATCCAGAATGTCGCCCGGCGTGTACTGGCGTATGGGGATTGCCCCACTGACCTCACAGAGGAGTCATCGTTGCACGAGATCCTCGACTCGAGAGACCACTACGGGATGGAGCCCAAGAACTTGGCCAGCTTCGACTTCGACAAGGTCAAGATCCTGCACAGGAAGGTCCACGTTCGGCCGATACGCCGGGAGTTGCCCGCGTCGGCCGCTGGCTACCTTCGGCATGCTTCCGACTTGATCGAGATGGACGAAGCGGAGCTTGAGAGAGATCGTGCCGAGGGAGTGGGTGTCACGCCATACTGGGACCCCCTCCTCCGGCGCTCGCGAGACCTTCGGAAGCGACTGTACCAGCGCCTGGACCAGCAGGGCCTGCTGACTTGGCGTCGGCGGCTGAAGGGGCATGCGGGCATCTTCGTGGTCAAGAAAAAGGACGGGCTCCAGAGGTTGATCATCGACGCCCGAGCGGCCAATCGGGCGCATCGGCCACCTCCCACTACTCGGCTAGGCTCCTCGCGATGCATGGCCGACCTCGACCTCTCCGACCCCCGCCTGAAGGCATCGGGCTTCGGGGGCCTCGGCTCCGGGGCCTTCAGCCCAGCTGGCCGCGAGGGAGACGTCGGGGACTGTTTCTACAACTTCACCATCCCCGAGCTGGCGAGCTGGTTCGGCTTCGCCGACCAGTTCGGCACCCACGAGCTGACGGAGATGGGCTGCCTGCCGGACTCGATCTGGGACGACGCCGAGGGGGCCGAGACCAAGGTCGTGGACGGCGAGCAGCTCTACCCCTGCATGTGCGCGGTGTGCATGGGCTGGTCCTGGGCGCTCTACTTCGCCAACGAGGCCGTGACCTACCGCGTCCAGCGGGCGCTGCCCGACGGGGCCGAGAAGGTGATGAGGGAGATGCAGCCTGCCCCGACCATCGAGCCCGGCAAGTGCGTTGCCGGAGTGTACGTGGACAACGTGCAGGTGATCGGAGGCTGCGAGGCTGACGCCAACACTCAGATGCATGAGATCGAGAATCTTTTTCGAGAGGACCGTATACCTTTCGACGTGGAGCCGGGGGACAGTTTGGAGATGCAGTCCCTCGGCCTGGTGTACCACTGGCAGGAGCGTCGCCTGAGGCATGTGGCTCGGCGCGTCTGGCGGACCTACATGGCCGGACACGCCCTTTTGAGACGCCGCAAGCTCCACGGGCACGCGCTCCAGTGCTGGCTGGGGCACGTCGTGAACCTGAACCAGCTCTGCCCCGAGGCGATGTCCGCGCTGAACGCCTGCTACCGCTTCATCGAGGAGTCGCTGGAGTCGCCCAAGCGGGTCTGGCCCTCCGTGAAGTCCGAGATCCGCTGCTCGATGAACTTGCTCTTCCTGATGGAGGCGGACTTGGGCGCGACCTACTCGGACCAGGTGTACTGCGGGGACTCGTCCGGCCGCGGCTACGCACTCCACGTGACGACCGCCGAGCCGACCGAGCTCCGAGAAGCCTGGAGGTGGAGAGAACGCTGGCGGTACCGCGACGTCCCGACGGTGACGGGCCACGTCAGCAGCGGGCTCGACTACGTGCGCGGCGGCACGCCCGGCACCGCCACTGGCCCGAGGACCGCCTTCGGCCAGTCCCTGCTGAGTCAGGCGGAGGCGCCGGAGGATGCGAGCGGCCTGGCTCCCTCTCCGGCCCGAAGCCGCGCTGCGAAGCCGGCTCGAGGCCGCACCCAGCTGCATCTTGACTCGGGCATCCCCGCCTTGGAGGACAGCTGGGTGGCCAGGCGCCGCTGCAAGCTGGTCGCCGCGGACCGCTGGCGCTGGCAGGACGAGCACATCAACCTCAAGGAGGCGAGGGTCGCCTTGATGGGGCTCCGACGGCACTGCCGATCGGTGAAGTTCATGGGCACAAAGCTGCTCTCGATCAGCGACAGCCAGGTCACCGTCGGGGCCTTCGAGAAGGGTCGCTCCAGCGCGGGCCTGCAGGCCCTCTGCAGGCGCGCAGCCGCCTACCGCCTGGGGGGGCAGATCTCCTGGCGGCTCAGGTACATCGAGACTGACCGTAACCCGAGCGACGAGGACTCCCGGCGCTGGGACCTGAAGAAGCCGGCTGGGCTGAACCGGGGGACCGAGCGTCGAGACGCCGCCCCGAGCCTGTCCGCTCCAGCTGCGAGTTACACGACCTCCTCCTCTTCTCGGTCACCTCCGTCGGCATCCTCAGCATCTGTTGTACGCCCGTCAATTCAGAGCGAGCCTGGTAAATCAGTTTTTTGTATGGAGCTCTTCGGTGGAAAGGGGGAGCTGACTCGAGCCTGCCTGGCGGAGGGGCTTCCCTTCGCGGATTCAGTTGATATCAGAGACGGCTGGGAATTTGATCTTTCTCGTCGCAGTACACAAGAGTATATCCTGAGGCTGGCCCGAGAAGGGCGTTTGATATATGTGCACCTGGGAACGCCTTGTCAGGTTTGGAGTATCGCTCGGAGGGGGGTCCGAAACCATGTTCGAGCCAGGGCCCGGGAACGTCTGGGCATCGAGTTCGCACTGTTTACGGCTACGTTGTGTCATATCTTATCACGTCGTGGGTGTTATTGGAGTGTGGAAATCCCCCGGACTTCGAGACTCTGGAACTTCGACCCGATCGCTCGCCTTCATGGACTCGCGGACGTCGTCGAGGTAAACTTCGATATGAGCATGTATGGCACGGCCTATCGGAAACCTACTCGAATCTTGACAAACCTGAGAGCGTTACAGTCCCTGGGAGATCGACCTCGCATTCGACATAAACACTCGGTCTTGCTACACGGTCATCTCACACCACTTGCCGCCGCCTACCCGCCAGCATTGGGCTCGTGTTGGGCCAGGCTCCTTTCTTCGGCCTTGCCGGGCGACATACGCCCGGGCCAGCGAGCCTTCGACCCCAGCGAGGTCCGCCATGGCCTCCAGCGGGCCGCGGGCCGTCGCCCGGCGGCTCGAGCAGCGGTTCACGGTGAGGTCGATGAACCCCGTGAGCCAGCCTGCCAGGCCGCCGACTCGATCCTCGAGCACGACCCGATCATCCAGTTCGGCCAGGACGAGCGGCCCCGGCGCTGGAGGGCCCACCCGGCCGGACTGGGCGGCAGCCGCCACCGGGGAAGGGCCGACCGCGGCAGCCTACAGGCCCCCGGCGGGCAGGCCCCATCACCGCCCCGCGGAAGGACTCGCTGATCATGGCGACGGTGACCGGAGGCACGCTGGAGAGGTACGCGACGGCGGTCCACGAGTTCGAGACCTACGCGAAGGAGAGGCGCCTGCCGCTGCAGCCGCTAGCACGCCTGGACGACAGCCTCTCCCTCTACTTCGTGGACCTGTTCGACGACGGCTTCGGGGTCTGGGAGGGGCGCAACGCCTTCTACGGGTACAAGCTGCTGAAGCTCAGGACGACGGGCAAGGTCGACCTCCCAAAGGCGCTGGCCTCCCTGAAGGGTTGGACGAAGCGGGCGCCCGGGAGGATGCGTCTGCCGCTGCCCGACATCATCGTGGACGACATCGCGCTGGACCTGGTGGAGCACGGGAACCCCCTGATGGGGGCCGCGGTGGTGATCCAGACAGACACCTACACGCGGCCCTCCGAGGTGGTGGGGCTGAGGCAGGGCCAGATCTTGCCGCCGGCGCGCACTATGGCATCGTCATCGCGCCCTCGGAGTGGCACGAGACCACGAAGACGGGCGGCCAGGACGACAGCCTGCTCGTGGGCGACGTGGCGAGACCCTGGCTCACGAGCGTGCTGCGGCTGCTCCACAAGCCCAACGTGTCGGACAAGAAGAAGATCTTCGACTTCACCCTCGGCGACTACGAGCGCGAGGTGAAGAAGTCGGCCTGCCGCCTGGGCTACACCTCCCTGGGCGTGTGCCCGCACGTCTTCCGGCACTCGGGCGCCAGCAACGACAAGGCGCACTCCCGGAGGACGTTGAAAGAGGTTCAGAAGCGCGGACGATGGGCATCGTCCGCGTCGGTGGCTCGCTACGAGAAGGGGGCCCTGATCTTGCAGCAGTTGCGCAAGGTTCCCTTGGCCAAGCAGAGGAAGGCGGCGGAGCGCAGCAAGCGCCTGCCGCAGGTCCTCCTTCAAAAGATTCGTGAAATGTAGCGGCCACCAGTTCATGATATGGGTATGGGCGAAAGAGGGGCCGTCCAAGATGACAGCCCGACGATGTTCGACAAATTATCTCGTCTCAGGCCTGAGCTTCGATTGGATTACCTTGTCAGAGAGTGCGTGTGAAAGGTGATCCAAACTATATCGCACAGCTTCGCTGGATATGCATGTCTGGGCGAGGTTTTTAGGCCATCTAGGGGTGTGTATAGTCGTAGACGTGAATACCCCAACAGGCCCCTCCTCGCCCGTGCTTGTAAATGCTGACCCCCCGCAACTGCGGTGGCTCAAAGTCTGCCCACCCTCAGCCACCCTCGAGCTCAGCATGCCTCGCTCGTAATTCAATGCTTTTTTCCGCTGGGCGAAAGAGGGGCCGTCCAAGATGACAGCCCGACGACGTTCGACAAATTATCTCGTCTCAGGCCTGAGCTTCGATTGGATTACCTTGTCAGAGAGTGCGTGTGAAAGGTGATCCAAACTAGATCGCACAGCTTCGCTGGATATGCATGTCTGGGCGAGGTTTTTACCTAACAGCGAAGACTGATAGGTTTCTAGTGGGATCAAAAGAGAGCAGCAGATCACTCCACAGGGGGGTCCGGGCAGGTGTTGGGAGTTGCCGGGCGGCAGGTGCCGGGCTCGTTTTTCACCAACAGTCACACACTTCGTGCTCTTCGACTTCCCAGAACTCCATTCCCAGGCCACATTCTCAATACCCGGATGCAACAGTCACACACTTCGTGCTCTTCGAGATCCCAGAACGCCATTCCCGGGCCACATTTAGAATAACCGGATGCAACAGTCACACACTTCGTGCTCTTCGACATCCCAGAACGCCATTCCCGGGCCACATTCTGGAGGGCCGTATGCAACAGTCACACACATCGTGCTCTTCGAGTTCCCAGAACTCCATTCCCGGGCCACATTCTGGAGGGCCGGATGCAACAGTCACACACTTCGTGCTCTTCGAGTTCCCAGAACTCCACTCCTGGGCCACATTTTGGATGCCCGGAGCCAACTGTAGTCCACTTCATGGTCTTCGAGATCCCAGAACTCCATTCCCGGGCCACATTTTGAATAGCCAGACGCTTCGTAGTCCTTCCGCCACAGCCGTGTTTGGTTCAGGAATTGCTAGTGACACTGCAGTCCACTGCATTCAATCGTGCCACTGCATTCACTCACTGCAGTCCACTGAGTTTCGATTGCAATGGCGTTCCCCTGGCCGTACCCCCATATCCAACGTTCATCCGCAGCCTCTGCTCCGCGAGGCTCGTCCGAAGTGTCGCCGCCTCGCGGTGCTTCTCAGCCTGCGCCGCCTCGCGGTGCTTCTCAGCCTGCGGAGGAAGGTGGACAGACGCCTGGTTCTGGCGCTGTGCAGCCTGCGTCTTTCACGGTCGCCTCGTTCAATTTCGGGTTCGAGCAGGGCATGATGACTGGTAAGCAGGCGGCCACTCACTGCGCTAACTTCGGAAGGGTGTGCGCCACGATAGTGGAGACCGCTGATGCTGATATGGTCTGTGGCTGCGAGGTCGGTGCGTTCCGTGAAGGCTTTCGCCGAGCAGGGATCAACGTGACAGAGATCCTCAGTAAGCCTTTCGGTGATGGCATTCGCTTCTCGGAGGTCGACAACTACTTGACTCTCTGGGGGTTCCGCGGTGCTTCTCAGCCTGCGGAACTGACTCTGTGCGAAGACAGCAAAGTTTACAGGCCTCCTAGCGGCCGAGAGATTGATGCTGTTATTTCACATTTTGAGGTGAACAAACCAGGCCATGACAAGTTCCACGTGGTGATCGCCAACATGCACATCGTGTGCGGCAAGAAACCGCCGACCATCCAGACTCGAAAGCGGACAGTTCGCCATCTCCGCTTGCACCTGGACTGCATGGCTCAGATTCTCAATGCTTCGGAGCCGCACGTGCCAGTCGTTCTGCTTGTAGTCGGCGACGACAACCTCACTTTCCAGGAGGCGCGGGAGGCTTACCAGCGCCAGCAGAACGACGAGAAGCTCTGGGAGGTCCATGCCACTCCGGCCGACCTCAAAGGCGACCACGTCGCGGTCTGCGGAGCAGTCGCCCGTTTCTGCTCCATTGCCGTTGGCGCGTCTTTTACGGATCGTGGCATGCGCAACGACGCACACGATGCGGTGGCGGTTGTGCTCACTCTCCCTGGTGCTATTCAGCCTGGGGAGAGCAAGAGGCGGAAGATTGTCGTCGAAAACGTCTCCGACGCCGACGTCAGCGTACAGGCGGACGCCGAGTCTTCTGTGCATTGGGATCGGTCGCCGAGTTCTACTCCTCCGCTTTCACCGACTTCACCGGGTGATCCCGACTACGTCGAGGATGTCGTTCAGAATCGCGCGAACGACTTGCACAGGGAGCTGAGGCAGCTTTGGGACGACAGGTACGACGAGGAGTACGATCCGAAAGTCCTCCATCATCTCAGTCTCTTGCTTTTCAAAAAGAGGAAGTCCACGGAGCCAGCGGACACTGATCCAGCTGGCGCTCCTCAGCCTGGCTCGGAATATGACACGGCCTTTGCGTCTCAGGAGGAGACTGGCCGAGCCATTCTCTCTGTCCTTAAGCTTCGACATGACTTTCTGCGGAGCAAGAACATCGACGACATGCGCTACGTTCTCACGGAGCCTGAGCGCCAGGAATTGGTCAGAGTAGCTCGCGACCAGTACGAGCAGTCGCGGCAGCAGCGTGCGCTTCAGGAACGGGATGTCGAAAAGGGAAAAGCGAGAGGCAAGTCTGCGCCACAAGGGGGCCATGCGGTTCCGCAGGGTCCTAACAAAGGGCCAGGCGGTAAGAAAGGTTCTCACGGTGCTTCTCAGCCTGCGGGAAAAGGTGGCCAGGCCAAGGGTGCAGGTCTGGGTAGCGTCGCCAAGTTTGTGAAAGACCAGAAGCGTAAGCGGTGGCATCGCCATTTGCAACGTGTGGCCGGCACCAAACAGATCTGGGAGGTGCTGGCCTTCTCAGGGCGCTTCGACGTTGATTGGCTAACGCAAGCGTTGCAAGCTGATCACAGTGAGGGCCGTGATGCAGCAGTTCCCGAGGAAGCTCTGCGGCAACAGCGGCGCCGTCTGCACCACCAGAAGGCCGAGGCCATCGCGCGCTACAACGAGGGGGAGCGGCTTTCCCGCCATCTGTCTGCCCAGGCTGGCCAGCCAAAGCCGAACTTCACGCGCAGGCAGCTGGACGTGTTGCAGATGTTTGAGAGCGGAGAGCTGCTTCAAATCCGCAACCAAGCGATTCTGGCGTTGGGGCACGGCCGTCTGTTCAGGGCCGATGGCGACTACCTGGACATCGGCGGCAGCACGGGCGGTGGCTCCAGGCGCATCATCGATTCTTGGCAGCCGCCGGACTGGCGTGACTTCCTCCAAGACGATCAGGACATCTGAGTTTTGCAAGTCTCCCTGCCCGCGGTGCTTCTCAGCCTGCGGTCTGCCGCTCTCCAGCTGCGGTCTCGAGCAGTAGTGTTCGAAAGCATGCGAGTTCCTGCGGTGCTTCTCAGCCTGCAGGTTTCGCAGCTTGCGCTCTGCAGTACAAGTGCTTTTCAGCATGCGACATCCTGCGGTGCTTCTCAGCCTGCAGGGTTCGCAACGTGCGGTTTGCAATGCATTCCTTTTCAGTATGCGAGTTCCTGCGGTGTTTCTCAGGCTGCAGGGCTCCGAGGCTCTTCGCTTCGATGCCAATGTTTTCAGACACCGTAGCTCCGTTCCGTAAACATCTTCCAAGAGCCGCTCGCAACCTTTTGCAGCTGGCGGTCTGCAGACGTAGTCTGTCTCAGCATGCGAGCTCCCGCACGCTTCGCCGGCTTTTGCTGCGCGGACAATTTTCTCACACACGTCAGCGCCGTTTGTAGGCGTCAGAAAAACATGTAGACATTCACGAAGGGCTCAGTCTGTATATCGTCACATCATTACATACGCAGTCGTCGAACACATCGGTGTACATTCAGCGCTTTGTCCTTCTACAGCATTCTTTCCGTTGATAACAGTGTTCTGATGGGTTCGCTTCGTTCTAAAAGCGTTGATAGCAGTGTCTCGTTTGCGGACAACTCATTCTATATCAACTCACTGATACCGAGTTTCCTTTCACCATAAGTGAATGCATACCAGTGTATGTTGGTTACTACAAAAGTGGGTTCCTACAACCGACTTCATGATCGCTATCATCATCGCAGATTTCACTCATCCTCATCACCACGACTGGTTCACGTTGGCCTGCGGTGCTTCTCAGCCTGCAGTTCCTTTCGTTACACTGTAGTTGAAGCCGTTCATGGCAGTGACTCGTTTAAAGACAACTTTAGTATTGGGGGAAGTGTCGATAGCAGCGTTTCTTTTTACTTATACAAGCGTTGATAGCAGTGTCTCGTTTGTGGACAACTCATTATATATCAACTCATTCATACAGAGTTTCTTTTCGCAGCAAGTGAATGCACAGCAGTGTATCTGCATTACTGGCCCCCACTCCATTATCACTATCATCATCAACGATTTCCTACACGCGTGTGCGCGGCGGTCGCCATGAGTGAATAGTTTGCAGAGACTTCTCGCATTGATAGCCATGGGTCACTTCAGAGTGAACTCATTTGTGATCTTCTTTTATTGGAAGTTGAATCGGTTGATGGCAGTGCCTCGTTTAAACTCCACTTTGGTATTGCTAGTAGTGTCAATGCCAGCGTTTCTTTTTAATTGTGCAAGCGTTGATAGCAGTGTCTCGTTTGTGGTTAGTTATAACAGCGTTGACAGCAGTGTCTCGTTTGCGGACACCTCATTGTACATCAACTCGCTGATACCGGGTTTCCTATCAACACCATCATCATCATCCTTAACCTCCTCGTAGCCATTTTGCTTAGAGCTGTAGCCACATGTTTGCTCGAGTTTCACCTGGCCGTCCAGCCGCGGCGGTGCTCCTCAGCCTGCCTTGTCACAATGCCAGCACGCGGCAAGGCATCGCCCCCGCCAC